AAAAAGTTTGCGGAAGAATACCATTTAGGCGTTATCGACAATATAAATTCTGCCTACTTGTTTTGTTTACATACGTTTGCCGCGAGTAGTAATGCTCGGAAACTTCACTTGTCTTGTTTACTGCGCAATGTCCGAACTTTAAATAAAATTTCGCGAAATGCGGAGTAATCAAACGAGTAAGAAGATAAGAAGATCAGTAAAAACGCTGTTAACTAAGTAAGCTTCCGCGCATTACTACTCGAAGTAAACGTATATAAACAACGCCAGTAATGGTAGCCGGACTGGACGCGAATAAGGCCGAACTTATATCCTAAAGTTTTTTCTGTCGGAAACTTTTATTTTTATTTTAGAATTAATTAGGCAATTTCCCACCAGAATAGAAATTTTCATTATAATTTTTTTCCGGGGCTTAATCTGCAAATTTACCGGGATTTTACTATAAAAATTAATAAAAATAACCGCAAATGTTTGTAACGGTGAGAACTTAAATAATATCCACCGAAGTAATGTTCCGGGACAACATTGCTAAATATAATTTATTTTACTGTTATCTGTCTATATTTCTGAGATGAGGTATTATGTACATTATTTATATTATTCGGACTTTGTCGCCATATTTATCACAACGTTTCGGCCGTTGTACGCTCCGGCCTTCTTTAGGTGGTTGGAATTTCGAACTGAACCCTTTATTTCGCTCACTGGGGTAGACTGTTCTAGTTCCACGTGCCATGGTTTTAATGGATGTCAGTTATCAGTTATCTCCTGTTTATTTCCCTCTGAAAGTTCTCCACCCTTAACCGGGTATTGAACTCACACTCTTTGGGTCCTGTCACAAGATCTAACCAACGCCTTTATCCACTGTGCCATGTGCCCTTGCGGAACCAGAACAGTTTACCCCAGTGAGCGAAATAAAGGTTTCAGTTTGACATTCCAACAACCTGAAGAAGGCTGGAGCGTACAACGGCCGAAACATTGTGATAAATATGGCGACAAAGATGAGGACAATAGTCCGAATAATGTAAATAATGTACTTTACTGGTGTTTAAAATAAAGAAATTTTTTTTTTGTTTATTTATTTATTTATTTTGTGAATGTTTTGTAGAAAATTTAAATTCTATATGAAAAAAGGGTAATTTGCAGTTTGGTTTCTAATAAAAATTTACCGAATATTTCCATTTAGGTGTAAATTTACATGCTTAATTAAAAAATATCAAAGGCATTTTGATAAAATCTAACGTTTTGGAGTTATCGACAATAAAAGTTCGAACTCATTCGCGTCGCGCCTGCAGCACGGCAGCTATTACTGGCATTGTTTACATATAATAACCTCGATTAGACATGTTCCGACGTTTCACTTGTCTTGAAAAATAAGTATACAATTAACATTACCTTCTTGTATGGAAGATAATTGCAAACATTAACCTATTTTAATAAAATTTCATAGGTAAATTTG